TTTTACAGGAGCGACATGGTAAATTCTTTTCTTTCACACTCTTATTTCTTATGGACCATTGCAACATCTCAACTAACAAATGGTCCAGTTATCAACGCTATTTTCAAGTTTTGAACAACTCGACTTTAAAGATCTACATATCTACATGTGCCGATGTTTCCGTTTATCAACGTGATATTTTAAGATCTGTGCAAGAACTCAGCTAACAGATGTTTCCGCATGTAAAAGCTATCTTCAAGTTTTGTACACCAAAAAACTTTTCACCTATTAGTATTCGAGGTAGAATATAAGGATTACAAATAATTAGAAATTTGCTAGACAGTTCATATTTTAACACAAACTGCCCCATAATTAGTAATAAACAAATATATTTTATTACATAATTAACTCAATAAAAATTATTAGAGTATTAGCCTTTTATAAATACTGCTAGATAAACATTTACCAAAAAGTAATTAACTATTAGCAAGAACTGCTAAATAGCGTAGCTTTTAATTAATGTTGTTAGTTAATTAGTTAGTGGAAAGTAACTTTTACTAGTTGATTAAGTATCGGAAAACTTTCTTAGTAATTAGTTTTTGATAAACAATGCTAACCATTCGGTTATCAGCAATTATCAATATACTTTTATTACAACTATGAAGAAATGAAGAAAGTACTTAACGACAAACTCAAAACGTGTGCACAATCAGTGATCAAAAGAGTATCTATAACTTTCTTAAATTTTGAATATTAATTCAATATTTTCTCATAGTTAAGTACCCTTATCTCAATAACTAGTTTAATAGTAATGGTTGTTAGTATTACATGAGCACTTAAAATTTACTGTACTTTTACAAAATCGCTTCTCTTTTAGCAAATCAGTGTTAGTAATAAATACTACAAACCAATGCTTTAAATATATTAATTTCAAATCGTAGAAATACTAAACGATAATACGAATATCGTGTTAATAACAAAAATCAGTAAAAAAAAGAATGGAATCAGAAATAGACATTCCAAACCAGAGAGTTACTGAGAAATATTATAAATGCAGAAGTTTGTAAAATATATTAGACTGAGTGTGTTAATATAATTAATCCAAATAACCATTTTAGTAATATGTTTTTTAAAACACTAAATTAATATGTTTTCGTCTCCTGTTTTAGTAACGAGTATTTCAGATGGTTTGCCTTGTCTATTAAAATGTGCCAGCCCCCTTTGGAACAGAGGTATGCCAGCGGACTTACAACACTAGAATCCGGGTTTCGATACCCGTGGTGGGCGGAGCACAGATAGCCCATTGTGTAGCTTTGTGCATAATTACAAACAAACAAAATGTACCAAATGCAATTTATTAAGCCTTCGTATCAGACAAGAACATTTATACTCTGCCCCTGTATATTTGGCTTTTTGTCAGTACACTGACAGTTTTGCCATTTAACCATTTTGCAAGGGGCTAACAGGTCATAACCACATCACATTGTTGAGTTTTGTTGTTGTTGTTGTTTTTAAGCTGGTACTTATTATTAATTATATCATAAACCATGCTTTAAAGCTGCGTATACGTAAGTAGCGTCAACAAAATACAGCACAATTCGATGAAAATATGTTTTCTTTTGATATTTCAAATATCACCCACTCCCGTTAGTTATTAGTTTCAATCGATTAGTAAACTCCCCAGAGCGTATTCCGTGAAAAAAAAAAAAACAATAATCGAAGTGTAGGATTCACGATGTTTCTAGTTCAGTTTATACACACTCTCTGTACACATAACATGTACTATCTAATATTAGTGTTAGTAGTTATCAAAAAGAGACTTTCAGTGCGATAAGCAATACAAGTTTTTCATCTTTTAATACAGTTCACCCCTTACTAAGAGTGGGCTTATCCCAGCGCCTGCCTCGAGAACAGCGCGAGCTGCCAGCTGCACAGGATGGTCTAGCTGTTCATTTATTTCCCGTGACATTCAGACTGCTCGGTCTTTCGAGGTTCGGCATGTTTTCTAGTAATGCGCAGCTCGTTTAATCAAGATATCACCCTTGCGTCGAATTTACGTGGATCAGTTTTGTAAAACTCTTTCAGCGGGATACAGTGTTGCAAATATCTGTGATCACCAAAGTGTGCAGTAATAGCCAAGCACGCCTTTGTTAAGTCGTATTTTCCATGAAACGAAGCAGATGCCGCTGGAAGCAGACACTACTGTTGATGACATTGTGCCTGGACAGTTGTAATTCACTGAAGTGTGAAATACAAAGAGATGATCCTGCAGGTTAAGAATTACAAAAAGCTTATTGATATGAATCCAGAATATTTCTAAGTTGTGTTGGCAAAACTGACTTTCAACATCCCAGCCGGAAGAAGTTTTTTAATAAACTGCATAGACCAACCTCTACAATTGTGAACAATTGTTTAATTTAAAATAAAAAGATCTATGGCTTGATAACACGTGTAAGTCAGGACTATTTAAAATAACCAACAGAGCAGTAAATGCAACAACGAGAATAGCTTGAATATTAACCTTAACGTACAGCTACTACGTACACCAGTTTTTATGGGTAGAAAGTTTGGAAGAATAGCCGTCTCATATACCATGAAGCAACTGCAACACCAGAATTTTGGGGCAGTATTTTATAAAGTAGAGGCTAAACATGTGTGGTGTTTTTCTTTCTTTGCTTTTATGTGCTATTTTATAGACAATTGACATAATGATTAGAACCCAGAAGATAGTTTTTGAAAATTTGTTTTCGTTGTTTTGTCCTGAACTTAGGAAAAGCTATTTACTATTGGTATTACTATTATTGTGTTAAACGGAAATACTCGTTGAAATAAAACCTGTATTGATTACATAATTGGGTGAACTGATAGCATAGAATAATATCATAACAATTATTTAAGTAGTGAATGCTAATAAGTTGATTTCTGAGATAGATACCTTCCTTACGTGAGAGTGGAGTAAGACATATATCTATATTGTTATGAAACGGTTAACCATTCCAAATATGAGGAATAATCGCGATCCAGGGAAAATTGTGAAATATACACCCTATACCAAGCAAGATCAGCAACTGGATGATGACTTGGATGAAATAGCAGTTGTCAGCAGCGCAGCACCGGAAAATGTTAAATACGGAAGCGGAGCGTTAACCGCTAACGGACCTCGCGTGGTCCCAGGCATCATCACCTCAACAGGGACTGAACGTACACGCCTTGTGTCCGAACAACGGGTAATTGTCAGCACTCCGCGACAACCCACCGTTTCACCAGTATATTCTACCAAATCATCAGAAAATTTAAAGATGAAATCAGCATCAAGACAAAGTCTTCTGGAAAGCATGGCCAACAAGTTCCATACAGGGGACCTGAAGCGGAGATCACGTGACTCCATGGCTTTCGTGAATAAAGCTCACATCAACTCTGACTTGGAAATTCCTCGTAAAACAAGAGAACAGAGAAGAAAGGAAATAAAGCGCGAATTTGAAAAATGGGAAACGTCAACATCTGGCAGCGATAGAAGTGTCTGTTCTTGGACTTTCGTATTTGATCCATCAGGTAGACTTTGCTATTATTGGTCCATGATTGTAAGTGTTGCTTTCCTCTACAATTTCTGGGTGATGATCTACCGTTTTGCCTTCCAAGAAATAAATAAGAAAACTATCTTGGCTTGGCTTACTTTGGATTATATTGCAGATTTTCTGTATGTTCTTGACATCTGTTTTCACTTTCGAACTGGTTATTTAGAAGAAGGAGTCTTACAGACGGACTATGAGAAACTTAGAAAACATTACATGAACTCAACCATGTTCTACATTGACTGCCTTTGTCTACTTCCATTAGATTTTCTATATCTATCTATCGGCTTTAACTCGATTCTTCGGTGCCTACGTCTTGTAAAGATCTATCGCTTCTGGGCTTTCCTCGATCGTACAGAAAGACACACCAACTACCCTAACGTCTTTCGAACTCTCTCTCTTATTCATTACCTCCTGGTGATATTTCATTGGAATGCTTGTCTGTTTCACATCATCTCAAAAAATGGTGGGTTTGGAACACGTGATTGGTTTAATCCGCGAGATGAAAACTGTAACGATGTCCTTTGTGAGTATCTTCACTCCTTTTATTGGAGTACGCTGGCCTGGACCACCATAGGAGACCTTCCCCGGCCGAGGATCCGAGGAGAATATATGTTTCTTGTACTGGAACTTGTATTTGGGTTGTTTCTTTTTGCTGCTGTCTTAGGCCACGTGGCTAATATTGTCACAAACGTCAGTGCCGCCAGAAAAGAGTTTCAAGGTAAGTTGGTCTTCTTAAAATTATGTTTTGAATGAATTGTTTTTTGATTTTCATTCGATTAAAACTTTTGTTAACAACCATTAATACATAAGCTTATAACTAGTAATAAAATATAATTAATATACCTTGATGATACTCAAGATTCTCGTAGAATCAAGCAACGGATAAAACACAGGGCAGGAAACGCGATCACTTGAGCACTTTTGGAAATTAAATAATTTTTCTTCAGAAACACGTAGGGTTTTTGCACTATATTATAACACTACTTCTTAGAGCCTCTTTTGACAAGTTGGTAAAAAAATAGAGATTTTTACGTATTCAGAGTTGTTTGTTCGCTTTAAATCACATCTGCTAGTTAAAACTCTTCATTTCATTGATGTGATATGACATTCAGAATGTCATTGTTTTTGCAAACTATTAATCGGCGATAACATATACAGGTACCGTGAAGTATCTAAAATGTAATTTACTTAAAGAGAACATTGGAACTAAGGTATTATTATTTAGAAGTTAGCTGCATGAAGTAGTGATAAAGACTTCTATATGTGAGTTACAATATTGTCGTCTTTAGAACATGATACTGTAACTTACATATACAAGTCGGTTGTATCTAACGATAATAAATACATTATGATACTATAACTTACGCATACAAGTTGATTGTATTTAATTGTAATAAAGACATCGTGGTAATATAACTTACGCATACAAGTTGATTGTATCTAATGGTAATAAAAAACAAGATTCTTATAGCAAAAACACGTAGTATCAAAAATGTTTGGTAAATCACCTTCAGTAAACCCTGGTACTTTAAGGTATAGATACAAAACAATGTCAAGAAGTTAACTGTAAGTAAGGTTCACTTGTATACTTTAATATTGCAGATATTATCAAAAAGTTAGTTGTAAACAATGCTCAAGTGTACACTATAATATTACCGCTTATGTGAAGAAGTTAGTTGTAAACAGTGTTCGAGTGTACACTATGAAACTATAGTTTATGTGAACAAGTTAACTATAAACAATGTTCGAGTGTACACTATAATATTACCGCTTATGTGAAGAAGTTAGTTGTAAACAATGTTCGAGTGTACACTATGAAACTATAGTTTATGTGAATAAGTTAACTATAAACAATGTTCCAGCATACACTATGAAACTATAGTTTATGTGAACAAGTTAACTATAAACAATGTTCGAGTGTACACTACGACACTATAGTTTTATGTGAACAAGTTAACTATAAACAATGTTCCAGTATACACTATGAAACTATAGTTTATGTGAACAAGTTAACTATAAACAATGTTCGAGTGTACACTATGATACTACAGCTTATGTGAACAAGTTAGTTGTAAACAATGTTCGAGTGCACACTATGACACTATAGTTTATGTGAACAAGTTATTTGCAAACAGTGCTCACGTGTACACTATGAAACTATAGTTTATGCGAACAAGTTAACTATAAACAATGTTCGAGTGTACACTATGACACTATAGTTTTATGTGAACAAGTTAACTATAAACACTGTTGGAGTGTACACTATGATACTACAGCTTATGTGAACAAGTTAGTTGTAAACAATGTTCGAGTGCACACTATGACACTATAGTTTATGTGAACAAGTTATTTGCAAACAGTGCTCAAGTGTACACTATAATATTACCGCTTATGTGAAGAAGTTAGTTGTAAACAATGTTCGACTGTACACTATGATACTACAGCTTATGTCAAGAAGTTAGTGCAAACTATGTTCGAGTGTACACTATGACACTATAGTTTATGTGAACAAGTTATTTGTAAACAGTGCTCACGTGTACACTATGAAACTATAGTTTATGTCAACAAGTTAGTTGTAAGCAATATGATCTTACAGCTTATGTCAATAAGTTGATTTTAAGCAATGCTGGATCGTACACCGTGATATTACCACTTATATCAAGAAGTTAGTTGTAAACAATGTTCACGTGTACACCTTGGTGTTTCTGGCCTCGTCTAAAAATTGATTTTAAGCTATTTTAATACTATGTTCAAGTAGCCAGCATGGTGCTTGTGATATACATAAGGTTATAAGTATGTAAAATAATGAATCTTGTTGTAAGCTTCGTTCATAGACAGCACAAAACCATCACTTCGAGTGTCAATTTTGAAACATTAATAGCTCAATCTTATAAATGTTATGCTGAAATCAACTATTTAAAGACGCTTATTAAAAATAACTCTAACAGGCACATCTTTCTGCATCTTTATATCTAAACAATTCTTTATTCAAACATAACTTGAAACATCACATCAAATTCGAAAGGTACATCTTGTGCTTAGAACTGTAGTGAATAAATATATTTTCACGAAATATAAACCTCCGATAAAAGCACATCCTTAAATAAAAGACAACATGTTTCTTTCAAAATATCGTTTTACTTATTAATGTCGTGCTTTCAGTTGTTAGTTGTTGTTTTTATTTCAGAGGTAACATAATGGCTAATATAAATCGTGTGAAGTGTGGAAGACTAGGATGTAACAAAAGGAGCTAAACGACATACAATGCAACTTGTAGCCCACTCTTCAATTTTAGGACCAAAATAACAATAAAACTCACTTGTGATTGTTTGTGTTCATATAAAATACTGAAAAAAACACACTATACATATCGTGTTACACAGCATTGTGTTCATTGTAAATTTATATTAAATGTTAGTACTTGAAGGTTTTTTAATTTTAATGAACGATCACGTGCATTTCATCTTTCCTTAAAGCAAAGGAGAACCGTGAAAGGATTGTTTAAATTTTACATCCATGTGAAGAAACATGGTTATGAATGTCGTGCTCTCCAGACATTTGTAGAGTATATCTAATGCAAATAGATTTAAGAATACGTTTGCTAAAATATTTGCAGTTTTTTCAGTTTTTGAAATCGAACTTTCTAAAATTAAGGTCCTGAATGTGATTAAAACTCTTATCATTTTTCTGTGTTTATACTTGTCGTTATAGCTACAAAATCTCACAATAATCTTAAGTTATTGTATCTTTAAGTTGAGTTTGTTGTTAGTTTATGTAGGTAGTTCAACTAAGGTAGATTATTACGACGTCTTCATGTGTTGTAGATAATTGAACTATGTGTAGTGTTACGACGTTCTCATGTGTTGTAGATAGTTTGATTACTACATATAGAGTATTATGACCTCTTCCTGTGTTGTACGTAGTTTGACAACATCTAGCGTTGCGACCTCTTCATGTATTGTAGATAGTTTGACTACTACGTATAGAGTATTATGACCTCTTCCTGTGTTGTACGTAGTTTGACAACATCTAGCGTTGCGACCTCTTCATGTATTGTAGATAGTTTGACTACTACATATAGAGTATGATGACCTGTTCATGTGTTTCAGATAGTTTGACTACTACATATAGAGTATTATGACCTCTTCATGTGTTAACAAATAAGATCATGTTTTAAATTACATGGGAAGGGTCATGTAGATATATTGAATATAAACAAAACATGTCTAACCCAAGTCCGGCGACTGGGTGGAAGCTTGAGTATGGTTTCAACCTAGAAGGACTAGTATTGTGTTGTTATGTCATTGGTCCTTAAAGTGACGACATAGTTTATCATTCCCTCTCATATTTTATATTACAATACATCTTTCTACCTTTTTCTAAGAAGAAATATATAAAAACTTATTGTAATTATAGATCGAGTTTCCTTCTTTGTATAAAGCAATACCCCCAACCAGCGCGAAGAAGGTTTCTAAATTAGTTACTAAAACAACGTGATAGTCCAGGTACAAAAGTAAAAAAAATAGATAAATTTAAACCAATATTTCGATTGCAACTTTAATAATTTAAACGTAAGCCTTCTTGTTTTTGTAAACGCTTACTTCTTCTAATAACAAATTCAAAAGGAACAGCATGTTTAGAGATGTCGCTGTCACGAGCACCTGTTCCATAAAGTTAGTGGAACGTCAGTGAAATTATTTCTGTGAATTAATGTATTCATTTCTTTCATGTTGCTCTAAGCTTAACAGTTATGCCATCTGGCTTGATTTGGAATAGGTTTTACGTTTATTTGTTTGCCACTACAAACGAAAATACTGAAAAACAATTTAATCATTTTTACTTCTTTTCGATTTCCTGGGTTCCGTATTGTTCTATGGTCATTACCAAGATGATGACAAAAAATGTTGTTCATTAGTATTTAAAGAAAGAAATTGAATAGTTTAAACTATATTATGAATGAAGTTAAATATAAGTTTAGTGCAAGTCTTCAATGTTCAATAAATACAAAAAATAAGAACAATTTACAGTTATATATATATAATAATTTAATACATTTATTTCCGTTCCTGGTTAGCTATCTATAGTCATAACGGATAAATCTTGTGGTAATAGCACCCAAAAGCCCCCCAGTGGCACAGCGGTATGTCTGCTGACTTACAACGCTAGAATCCGGGTTTCGATTCCTATGGTGGGCGGATAAAATACTCTCTTTGCTCATTGATCCTATGTACATTACAGACGTGTAGAATGTGCAAATTAGAGCTGGGTTAGAGCTTTTACTTGTTTTAAGTCAAGGCATAAAATAAAGAAAATATATGAAACATATTTGAACATATATTACCTTTGAACTTTTTACAGATAGCTTTACAGATACCTTTGAACAGATAGCCAATTGTGTTGCTTTTTGCTTAATTACAAACAAAGAAGCAACTAAAAAGCGTTAGGGATATTCTATCTATCAAACAACATCCAAAAGTTAAAGAAGTTCACCATCATGGAAAATCAAAACAAGGGGGAGGGAGTGAATGATTAAACCCACAACGTCTCACCTCCTACTGCTTTTCGCTATCTGTGGGAAGTTATTTAAGTTTTAAAAGTAGAAACAGAACCACCCAAAATTTCTACAGTATAGAACTCCCAACCACCGCCCTTATAAGGGTCTAAAAAATGAAAACGAAACTAAGAAAACTTACTTATAAATTGTCGAAGATATATTCA